ACCAGGTATGTCTCTCGTATCACTCACAACCTCGTTCCCCAACTCACAGATGCCACTTGCACCCAAGGACCACCATGCGCCCCATCCAGCATACAACAGCGCAGCTCGCCCGTGAGCGCGTGAGCCTGGCAGGCGATAGCGCAGCAGCGCTTGCGCACAAAGCAGCCAGTGCCCCAATGTCCAATGCGTGGGCAGGCCCTTCCCTATATTGAAGTGGCCTGCTGCTGCGTGCTGTGCTGCGGTACTGGGCCCCGGACCAGAAGCTTCCGGTAGACCCAGGGAGGCTGAGCCTCCGTCCGAAGGAAACAGGCCTAGGGCCTGAGGTGGTTATCAGCACCCAACTGCCCTCAGCCTTTGTTCGGTCCACTTTGTGTATCCGGCCCATGGCCTGCCTTAGTTACATGCAATTTACTTCCAACCAACTGGCGCTGCGCAACTGCGTGAATTTCCCCAGTTGCGTGGTGACCCTGAAATGGCCTGTAGGCCTCGGTCGTGCCTGCCTTCACTTAGGGCGGCCGACTGTGTGAAAAGTGGGCCCTGAAGGGCATATCGAGGTCCTAAGCCTTGCATTCCCTCCTCCATGCTTCGATAGTCCAATGAGAAGTTCAATCTTCGATAATCTGGCGTTTTCCTTTCTGCAGAGACTTCTCGTAGTGAGCGACGACCTGTGGAGCGGTCTGCATCAGTTCCTCCCGTGTGAACCATCTATCCTCCTTTGGATCAGTGTGATGTCTGAACTGAACCTGGTGCTGCAGCTTCGGTTTCGGAGGACGTTCCCTGCCTGTCAGTCTTGGAACTGGCATTTCCCTGTGATCAACAATGTCGTCGATGTCGACCTCTCCATCCATGGTTGGGGGCAGCATAGAGCGACGATTGGGAAACTGGTCAGTTTCCTTGAATGGTGCAAGCCTGGAGGCGTGAAAGACAGGGTCAGTGCGGAGATGACCAGGGATCCGAATAACATAGGATGACCCATCAGGATCTTCCCCAACAACATCTAGAATCTCCCATGGTCCAAAGTATTGTGGCATGAGCTTTCGGGAGATCCCGTGCTCCTGTCCCAGTTCTGAGGATTTTACCCAGACTCTGTTCCCTATCTGAAATGTAGAAGGGCGGCGGTGTTTGTTCTCAGATTCTATCATTGCCGCCTGTGCCTTGTGCATCTGTTCTACTGCCTGCTGCATCAGTTGTTCATAGCGCATGCCAAACTCAAGGGTGTCGGGTGCAGCAGTTGACTAATTGTCAGGTAGCAGAAAGTCTAGGGGCAGTCTGGGGTTGAAAGTCAGTAGCACACTATTAGGACTTACTCCAGTTGCGCTGTGCACAACATTGTTATACAGGATGGCGGTGAGAGCAAGTTTCTCATCCCAGTCCACCTGATTGGGCTTTATGTAGTGCTGCAACAGGTGTTGCACAACGAGGTTAAGCTGCACTGCTTGGCCATTGGCCTCGGGATGGTTCCGAGAAGTCATCTGCAGCTGTGTTCCCTGTTTTGCAGCTGCAGCCTTCCACAACTCACTTGTGAATCGGACATCCCTGTCACTAACAATAGACTTTGGGAGCCCAAAGTCTATGACCCAGTTCTCTTTGAAGAGTCTAATCACATACTCGGTCTTTGATGTCTCCGGCATTGCAACTAACTTAGCGTACTAACTAAACCTATCCACGATAACAAAGATGTGTCTCATTCCACTCTTGCTGGTGACCAGCATGTCCATGAAGTCCATAGACAGGCTCTCACCGGGCCTTTCCGGAATCGGAAGGGGCTTGAGGAGCCCAAGAGAGGCCTGCGTACGGGGCTTGTCTCTCTGACAGACCTGACAAGTCTCCACGTACAGCTTGGCATCTCTCATCATCGTGGGCCACCAGAATCGCTGCAGCAGATTGGCTGCAGTCTTCTTGAAACCAAAATGTCTGGTGGCATCATGGCACTCGCGAAAAATAAACTACGCAAAGACTCCCTATCTGGCACACACAAACGTTTATTCCCTGCCT